TGGAATTTTGGAATTTCGAATTTCAGATCACCGTGTGGCTGACGGTTCTCGCGTCGACGATGGCTGCCGGCGAGAAACCGCCGAACACCGTTTCGGTGTCTTCTGGCACGGCAGCGATCCAGGGGAACACGATCCAGAAGTTGATCAAGATTCTGGAGAAGTACGGTTTGGAGGAGCAGAGGGGCTTAAAGAGGGTCTACCTGAGCAACAGGTCGATCACATGCAACGACGGATCGCAGGCGGGGTTTTACCTGCGGAAGTCGCATGGTTCCAAGAGATGGATCATTTTTCTGGAAGGCGGCTGGTACTGTTACGATCACAAAAGTTGCAGGAACAGGTGGCTCAGGCTTAGGCATCTGATGACCTCGACTCAGTGGCCTGAGACACGCGACGGTGAGTAGCTTCCGTTTGAAAGTCGCATGTTGCTCGCCTAACTCGATGACATGTACAACAGGACCCCCTATAACGCGAGATACAACGTTCAGAAAGAACTATGACTAAATAAATAGTCTTTCTTCCTGTCTTACCAAATAAGGATATTCAAAGGAATATTCTTCCTATCGCAGTCTTTTGTCCATACAGTTAAACAATTTTCTGCTTTTGTTAAACTTGATGATGCTCCAGCTCGCGAATTGTTGATTCATTTCTGTTAAATTTCCTGCAACGAGATGTTAACTTATCACCAACAAGATTTCAACAACAATTTCTAATTTCTCTTCTAACGATATAAATCTTATCTTTTCGAGAGATCTCTTTTCAAGAGATCTTTCGAGTCGTGGTTGGAAAATGTTATTTCTCATTTCTGGCATTAAATCTGTAATCTTTTGCACAGAAATAACTGTTCCACGATACACGCTTTAAACAACCTCTGCTTATCGCAGAAATGAATCTTTTTCAGCAACTTTTTAATCGCGTTATAATACTTTACGCGTATATACTTTCTCGTCAAGTTTAAGTTCTTCTTCATCTGTTCCTGCTGTTCCTTCTCTGGGTCATGTTTTGCTCGAGAGAATCTCCTCTTTTCGTAAATTCAACATTGTCGAAGTAACGTTGATTTCGAAAATGTCGATGATTGCAGTTGGTGGCCTGTTATCAGCGAATCCGGAGGAGAACCCGTACTGGTGGAACGCGAATCACGTGTAGGTATTGTCCATCTCGACAAGATCATCCCCCTCCCTTGTATATTGAAATCGATCTTCTACGACGTTACACTCGCAGAGTAGAAAGTGATGGAATTTTCTTAACGTGAGATTTGCTTCAGATTCGTTCCTTATTGCACGAGCGACAGTTGGAGCGGCACCCGAGCCTCGCCGAACGACATGTTCTCGTTCATGGGTGCAGAGATAGTGTTGCAAGTGGTACGGGATCTGGTTCCCCTTGGTCTCGAGAACGCGAGCTCTCTTCTTTTGGCTGGCAGCAGCGCCGGTGGGACCGGCGTCATGTTGAACCTGGACCACGTGCACAGTTTGGTTCATCATAGTCTGGGTAAGTTATACAGCACTTTCACACCCTACTTTCACACTCCTCCGTGGAGGTAGGAACTTTCGTTAATTAAAATTCCGCCACGGTACGCCCGCAGGTCTGAAACACATCGCGATCAGAGGCGTGTCCGATTCGGGATGGTTTCTCGACAGAGCGCCCTACTCGCCCAACGGTCTGTCACCGGTTGACGTTGTCCACAAGGGGATGGAACTTTGGAAAGCTCGAATGCCGCGCAACTGCGCCAACGAGCACCCAGACGAACCGTGGAGGTGTTACTTTGGCTACAGATTGTATCCAACGTTGACTGGTAAAGAAACACATCGAAATTCAAACGCAAAGTTTGACTCGGTTTTTAGACGAAAAATTCTTCACTTCTCTCTCTCTCTCTCTC